ACGGCTATTTGTGCAATTAATATGACCGTTGGTGGTCATTGGGGGTGGGGCCCTCATTTTGAAAAATCTTGTTTTGTAGTATATATAGTACTACTTCTTCATGTAAATATAATATATATAGTATACTAGTATAGTATACTAGTATAGTGTACTATATATTGTATGTTATGTATATATATTCCCTTATGTATTTTCTTGTAGTATATATTGTATGTTATGTATATATATTCCATTATATAATTTGGTGTAGTATATATTGTATGTTATGTATATATATTCCCTTATATATTTTCTTGTAGTATATATTGTATGTTATGTATATATATTCCCTTATAGGAGCAGCAGGACGGGTAATAGGTCTGGGTCGGGGAGCCGGGGGAAGGGTAGTAGGTTGGAGACTACTTTCACCAATTTTAGCTTTTCCCTTACCACCAAATATTTTTTTCAAAGAAAATGCCATATTAATTACAATTATGCAAACTAAACACACAAAAATATATTCTTAAAAGTTAAGAGTTGGAACGAGTTTACCGAATTGCCGAACAACTTCTTGAAAATTGAAAATCGTTGAAGACTTGAAGACTTGAATACTTCAATTCACCAACTTCACAATTTTTCACGAAATTGCAATAATAAAATAAGCAATTATAGAAGAGAAATTAGATATAGATTGAGAGAGATTGAGATAGATTGATGAATTGGTGAGTAAAAATGAAAGAATGAGGGGTATTTATAGTTGAGAATTGGGGAAAAGTGTAATTATATAAAGTTTGGGGGCCAAATGGCTATTTTTTAAAGTTCCAAACGGTTGAAAATTAAAGGCCAACGGCTAGATTTTAAAATCTGACCGTTGGCTATTTTTTTAAAAAAAAAAATTTTTTTTTTTAAAAAATAGCCGTTGGAGCCCGTTAGGACCGCTAGGCCCGGTTGAACCGGCCCAGGACCGCCTGCCGGTCCCGGGCTTAGCGGTCCCGGTCTCGTGGGCCTCGTGTACAAGACCGGCCCATCACGGGCTTCCTACCCATTAAGGGACCGGCCCACCAGGACCGGCCCGCCGTGACCGTTTAGCCCGTTAGGACCGCGGGCCCGGTCCGGTCCCGGTCCCAGACCGGCCCACATACAGCCTTAGGTACGAGTCTAAGACTGATATATGAAACTTGGATTTTAATTAAGAGCCTGTTCAGCTTTGTAATGTTTACCAAGGGAACTTGATGCAATTAGTTACGGATCGATCTTTAAAAAACAAAGAATGTCTTTCATGCAAGCCACCAGTTCTATGTCGATTTCTTTCATGTCATAAATAAGCTGCCAAAGTTTATCTTCAGATCCTTTAACAGGGAGAATATATTTCAAAATGACTTATTTGGTATGGTGCAGGAGTCCTCTAACTACTGCGCCGAAGAGTCGAGGCGTATCCATTGCACAAAATGTGGCAACTCGCACATTTGGATCTGCACCAATAGGACAAAGGCCAAGGCAAGATGGTGCCAGGTTGGTCATCCTCGGAATTGTCTGTTATGATTGCTGTTGCTCTCTTTCACTTGTTCAAATATTAAAGAAAGCTATTGGTGTTCAGGATTGTTGTCAATATCATCAAGCCAAAGATGGAGATGGATGGGTAGAATACAAAGGATCGTTGGTTTTTAATCGACCACAAAAGGTATTAATTTTCAGAGTAATTTCTTTGTGCTGAAGGATTGATGCAAATTAGTGTTCCATTTAGTTCTTTTACTAGTTCAGTTGATACTATCATTTCCTGAATATCTTGGAAGTATATTTTTAATTATGGGTTCTCAAAGCAAGGTGAAAATCTTTATGGCATCTTATACTTGATCATTATATGTCTAGTTAGATTTTCAATAGATAATATAGGAATCAAATTATCAATAAAATACTTAAACCATTCAAATTCCTTGGGTACTCATGTACTTAATTTTCACCTCACATTTATTACAAAGCTGTGAATTCTTAATGTTGCAAATAAGTAAATCCATCATCTCTGTCTGAAATTTTCTTCTGGTTTGGTCATTCTTAATCTTTGTCTGCAACATTCCTCTGGTTTGTTCTTATCTTAACATGTTTTTTGTGATCAAGCTATGATATACAGGGGTGTTTGGTGTTTTTAACTGTTTATGAGTTGTGTTTTCATATGCCTAGAGGATTTCAATCAAACTGTTAAAACTCTGGCCAATTAGTATGCCAGAACTAGACAAAGGTCAAATCCAAAGATTTGAAGTCAGCATTTAGCGGCACGTTTATAGTGGTTTCTCTTCCTTTAGTATGTAATTTTTCTTATGATAACCACATTTTCAGCTCATGCTTTTTATATCTTTTCACATTTTTCTGTTCTCTGTGTACCAATAAAATGTTCATTCTTCATATGTTCCGTATTTACTTGTCATTCAGGCGGAGATACCTCGTGCATTCGTCTGTGCCGAGGGCAAGATATTCGATGTGTCAGAATGGGCCATATGTCAGGTCAGTGTTCTCTGTTATTACTCGTTACAAAGTCAGATATAGGTTTAAACTTATCTGGAGGATGCTTCAGTTGGCTCTTTTTGTCTGTTTTGCATCATTGCTTTCATGACACATTCATTGAGTAAATTCCTTGGATGGTCACCCAACTTATGGAGATATCTCAGCATAGTCATTTTTGTTCCTCTCAGGACAACAAAGTTCCCAACTATTGCCAATTGACTCAAAAAATAAATACCACAAATTTACACACTATGTTATATTAAAACTTAATTTTTTAATAATAAAACTCATTTAATTCATGATCTTTAAATCCATGGTTCACTAAATTGGTAACTGAGAGTACTTTTATGAAGTAAACTATTCCTACTTTATTCATTTAGACCACTAAATTATAAGAAAAATGATTTAGGATTCTAGAATTTGCACAACTGATAAGTTAGCTCGGATCATTATGCTTTAGCTCGGATCATTATGCCTTAAAATGTTGCATATAAACTGTCAATCAAGTATTGTTGCTGTTATATGCCAAAAGTTGATCCAATGAATTGAACCTCCAGTATTTTTGAAACTCTCACGATATATGCTAATTTAAATAAAACGTGTCACAAATGCAAACGTAAGATGGAGATGTTTAATACCAACTCTGGTAACAACCTTTTTATTGCTTACGAAGGTCAACCACTCCTTCCACGTCAAAAGACACATTCACAAAACCATGGCTTTCCACTATGCAGCTCATGTTTGTTTCTCATTGTGGAATTTGTAATACTTGTGAAAAGAAAGTATGAGGCAGGACCAATATTTGCTAATTTAAACTCTCATATATATAAGGATCATGGATTAAGTGAGTTTTATTATTAAAAAATAGAATTTTAATATGATATGGCATGTCAAACGTGTGATTTATTTTCTAAGTCAAATAGCAATAGATGGGTGACTTTTGTTGTCTTAAAAGAAACAAAAGTGACTGGTGGGATATCTCCATAAGTTGGGTGACCATCCAGGGAATTTACTCCATCTTCTAAACATCATTGTCATCGTTTTCTATGTATGTTGATAATTTTTTTTTTTGGAGGGGGGGGGGGGGGGGGGATAAATCAACCTATTGTGTACATGTGATGACCGAGTGACATGAAGCTGGTGGATAAGAAATTGATTTCAACCTGTTGGAAAAAATAAAATATCAAATATGTTTGGCTTCCGTGTTGTCGTCTCTGTGCAACTTATTTTGCCAGAACTGGTAGTCATTGCTCCTGTGTAAGTAATAGAATAATCCTGGCATCAAAACTATTGTTATGAAAAAAGAAAAGCTATTATTGTGAAAAAAGATTAGGAAAATGACCTTTTCTGCTAGTACTTGTGTTGACCAATCTCCTCTGTGCAGGGTATGGCCTGTAGACCGAATACCCATAGGCCGAGTTTCCATGTAAACATGGTTGGATTAGAGAAATCAACCCAGAGATCCAATTCAAGCAGGTATCCCTGGGATTTGGATGCTGAGATGACAGACGAAGATGAAGAATTCGAGCTGTGGCTCCAGCAAGCTCTAGCTTCTGGACTTTTTTGCGAGACTCCAAAGCGCAGAAAGACTTGGAGTCCTTTCAAGTTGAATCAGATGAAAGGAAAGAAGCAATGGAGAAGGTCTTCATAAGTACATGCATCAAAATTTGCTATGAATTTGTGCATGCCACTCTTTTGATGGTTCAACATCCACTGCCCCTAAAATCAGGACAAAACAAAAAATGAGGATAATAACACACGAAGCGATATCTTTAAGGTTTCCTTATGCATCACGCGAAGATGACCGAGCTTCTCATCAAGGGAGAAGCCATACGTTGGCTTGGCTAAGGAAGTAAAAATGTGCTGATTTAGCTGATCCATTTGTAAATAGCATCCTAATTATGTGGCAGCATTTATCTACTGCGATGCTCGGTTTTTTATCAAAGATCCTTTTGGATTGAGTAGGAGGTACAAAACTGAGTAAATCTTTGTACATCTGATGATCCTGCCTGGACTTGTATTATTTGAGGTGCAATAAATTTCAGAGAAGATATTGTACTTTTGTGCAATTGTAGAACAATTCATATTGTTGATTCCACTGCATTATCCACATATTTATTCCCGCCACTGCGCATAGTTAGATCATGTTAAATCTCATCCTCGTTTCATTAGATGCAAGCAGAAAGCAGTGTATTTTGTTACATTGTTCAAACTATATTCTAGTATTGAAGAGTGATATGCTATTTGGTAACTACGAGTGTCTTTTTCTTGGGGATGAAATTCAAAAATAGCCAGATTTACATTGTTCAAAATTCGGAAAATATTCCAGCATAATATACACAAGTGCACCAATCTCCGGTATATTATGCTGGAACTTTCCGTATTGCAGCAAAATAGTGGCTAGTTTACAATGACTTTGCGAACGTTGGCTATTTTTCAATTACCAGTCCGAAAACTGGCTAGCCCATGCTATTCACTTTTCTTAGTGTGTACTTGAGAGGTTAAAAATTCTTTGCACAAGATCAAAGATAATCAAAAAATTAATATCATTCAGCAAAGTCCAAGTATCGTAGTTGACATTTTCAGACCCAAGAGAACAGTATTGGTCCACATCTTTCCTCTTTAATTTCTTTGGCTCTCTCTGTTACAGATCATCTTCCTCTAAATCCAGTTATAAATCTACGGATGCCGGCAAAATCTGATATCATCTTTACTTTAGAAAAGCTGTCTTGCTTCTTAGTCTCAATATAGTGGACTAAGAATTTGGTCTGTTCTTCACCATTTGTCTGCAGCACCATGATGAAGAGCATTAATAAGCAAATAAAAAGAGAGATTTTTGCAATGGAAGTATCTAAGAAGATATGCTCAAAATCATGATTACTCATCTCAATATGAGTGGTTACCTCAAATGCAAAGAAACCACCAGGTTTCAACATTGAAACAGCCCCATCACAAAGATGGATAAGGTCATTCATACCACTTACTCCGCCATCCAACGCTAGTCTAGGTTCATGTCTAGCTACTTCAGCTTGTAGCCCACCAATATCTTTGCTTGGAATATATGGTGGATTACTAACCAGTCCCACAAGTTCTCCTTCATCATCTCTCAATGGTTCATACCAGGATCCTTGCTTTACCAACACTTTTTCCTGCCATACACAATTCACTAATTCTATAAGTAGGTAGAAAAATCTGATTTTTTTATCAAGAGAACCCAAATTCTCATTCATCTTCTTCAGCCACAGATTTTAAGAATCACCACTTTTGCTAGACTAACCACAACAACGACTAGTCCTTAGTTCCAAACAAGTTGGGGTCGGCTATATGAATTCCCGCTAACCATGTTTGTTAATTCATTTGAGGCCAACATCATACATTTTCAAGACTAATTACAGCTTGTTTCAATGGTTGTTATGTATCGTTGCATAATGTATCGTATCGTATTGTATTGTATTGTACTATATCGTTTTGATGTATACAATGTTTGGTTAGATTGTATTGTTTGTCGTCGTTTCATGATGTCATGCACAAACAATACGAAGAATAAACTTGAAATATTATAAAGAAAAAGTAAGGGACGAGGTAATATTATTATATAAAAAGGTTGGGGTAACGGATAAATAAGATTATTTAATAATAAAAAAGAGCTAGATGAGAGAAAAACTAATGAAACGACGCGACCACACCAAATCGGTCGTTCCATAAAGTGGCACTTTTCATTGTTATGTAACAACGGGTTTAAACGATACGATACAATAAAATTTAAGTAACAATCAAAACAAAATATTAAATTTAATGTAACAATACAATACGATACAACAGGTAAACAACCATCCAAACAAGCTATAACTAATACTGCAAACTTTTTAAAGTCGAAATTGATTCAATTAGCTTTAAAGATCAAACAAGAAGCATATTAAGAGCCAGTATGAAGAAAGCACTAACCTCCAAACCGTACCTCTGCACATTATAAGATGCAACAGCAGCAGCAAGAGGGCTTAAGTCAGTAGCAACAAGTCTACCAGAATTACCCAAAATCCTTGCAATCCCAATAGCAAGTGCACCACTTCCAGTCCCTAAATCAGCCCATAGGCCTTCCCTTAACTCCTCATTCTCCTTAATAGAATCTTCTACAAGGTCCACAATCAGCTCGGTCTCAGGCCTTGGTATTAAAACCCCTTCTTCTACACTCAAAACCAAATCCCTCCAATGCTCACAACCCACCACATACTGAAACGGCCTTCTTTCTTCTACCCTTTGTTTCCACAACATATATAGTTCTTCTAAAGATGTCCTGATTGAAACTGGGGTGGCATTATCGTTATAATTGTTGTGGGTTTGGAGTGAGAGTGATTTGGGTTGTTCGAGTGCATCTTCTACGAGCCAATTTAGCTCTCGGAGCAACAGGTCGGAGTCTGGACCATTGTCTAGGTCCAAGAAAGTGGAACCCACAGAAGAAGCTAGGGATTTAGCCCAAAGGTGCCATTTCTTGAGGTCTGATAAGGTTGTTTTGAAGATGGGTTGCCTTAGAAATAGCGGCGTTTGAGGTTTGACTGAGGTTGCTGGACATGAAGAAGAAACAGCGCAACATGAGATGGGTCGAATGAAGCTCAACCTCATCTCTCCCAACTCTCTCGGTACCTTGTTGCGGATATTTTAACACCAATTAAAAATGAGTTTTAAAGAATCTGCAATATTAAATAATCTATTACCATTATATAAAGGGAAAATAATCAAATTTGCCTCTATTGTTCGATTTTAGATTAAATATAGCTCCGTTATCTATGGGCTTATAGATGTCACTTTGTTAATTATCAGTTTCCTTCATGGGAATTTTTAGACCGTAGATCACTTTTTTTTTAAGATTATTTATCTAAAGAAAAGCATTCTTTATTTATTCCAAATATAGCAGATTTATACACAAATAGAACAGATATTCAAAAATTAAACACTAATGACTTGCCCACGAATCAACGGATCAGTTTTGATCTATTAATCTTCTATCTCACCATTATACTAAAACTATAGTTTTTCACTCCTAATTTCTGCCATATTTTTAACCCTCCAAATATTCTCTCACATTGTCTCCAAATCTAAAAAATCTAACTGGATTTGCTTTGTGGAATCAACAGAAATGGAATCATTTTCTTTTTCTTTCTACTGATTTGTCTCTAATGTAAAAATACATTGGAGTTTCAATAACTTCACGAAAACACTACAAATTCTCCGATTTCCATTATTTATTTACATCCGTAACTCTTTTTTGATTGAGGTTATTTTATACCAATGATTTTATAATTTATGATAATTTTCTTCCTTCATTAATTAGTATATCTGTTTCACTCTTCAATTTTAATTTTATCCTTTTTATATTAGGAATTAATTTATATATATCAATAACACAAGGAATTTATTTTATAATGTTCGCTGAAACTGCATGAACACAAAAAAATTCATGTACCGATTTTCTTTTGGTGTAAATCGACATATTATATTAGGTTATTTATAATTTATTTTAGATATTCGCCAATAAGTGCTACTTAATAGAATGAAATACAATTATCGTTTAAATTGATCAGAAGGAGTAAATATTTTTGACACCGTCAATGCTCAATACTTAAGCTATTATGTTATGTGCGTTTATTTCTTTTTCTTGTTTGTGATGATAGCCAATTAAAAAATTTCACTTTGAGTTCTGGACCTCAACATCGGGTAGTCCACCATTTTATTTTTTGTGCTCTTCTTCCTAATTTTTTTATTTTTTTAAATTCGCTTTTTTGTCTTAAATGATTAATTTGTTATTTAAAAAGGTGGGCGAATCATCAACGTATACCAGCTGATTAGGTGGTGGTGCGTATATAACGCTGTAACCTTTTTTCATATCCCATATACATATATACATACATATATACACATATATAACGCCATTTGGTCATAAGTCAATGTAAATGAATGCAATGAATGAGAAGCACGTCAATAAAATCTTTCAGAGTGTCATAACACCATTATGCCTTTGATTAATATCATGAAATCAACTTATGTATTTTCTGAGACCCATGAACAGACGATAGAATAATAAGACATATGGGAATTCAGGAACATAGGCACTTTTGATACTTCTATGAATAGAGTCATTTATGGAAGTTGTGCATTTGCTCGTTTCATTTGTATCGTATGGATCATGCCAAAAGGAAAGAAGGGATAGCCTTAACATACCTGAGTCGATTCTCTTGACAATACCTCTAACACATGTTGATTACGACAACATGTAACGGCGAATCGAAGTAGGGAAAAATCCGTTTGATATTCTTGAGAAAGATTATATCAGGCTCGCTTAGAATTGCAAATGTCGTTGTTATTACGTTATGTAATCTTGAGAAAGAGAATTCCATCCGTTATGTAATCTTGTTCTTACGTTATGTAATTAATCATATTGAGAAAGAGAATTCCATCCATTAGCTATGTATTTCTTCTTAATGAATTAGGCGAGGTGATTTCTTTTATTAAAGAGAGCGGGCCCCACTTTTCAAGCTTGGTGTCACCTATCCTTTTCAAGTGTGCCACCTTTAATTCTCTTTCAAGAGTCATAACATGGGAAAGTGGGGGTGCTGCCACGTTGGGGAGGGGTTCGGTATTATCCCAAGGTTATTAATTAATTACCGGCTAATTTTAGTTAATTTATTAATTCCCCTATTACCAATATTTCACATAATCAAGAATTATCTCAAATTACTTAAAATACTACTCACTTTCAACACACTTTATACATCTTACTATCATGGTCATGTGGTACCTTATATGACACTAGTCCGTAAATCGGGGTATTATAGCTCGGACCGTATTTTATCCCAAAACGTCAAACTTCGACGAAACTTATTTTCTTCGATTCGCTTACCCTTTCACCTTCACGAATTTACTTACCACTTGTTTGAAATAGCATAATGCTTATAACCTCAAAATAATCTCATTCCCAAGCTTTCATCAATTTACTTATGGCGCACTTTCACGTACGAAGATATGGGGTGTAACATCATTCCCCCCTTTGGAACATTCATCCTCGAATGTTGGTTGATGCACTTATCGGTCTCATAAACGGATAGCTCTTACGAATGGTTTTAATACTGTCCTTGCCATCATGTTCTGTGAATAAATCCAAATGCCAGGGCACTCGCCCCTTTAGACCTCTTTCTCACACCATGACTTGTGGTCGGAATCCTTCCAATCTCGTAACTGTTGCTACCTTCTGTCATGCAGCCTGTACGACTTTTTCCTTGTATGTGCGTCTACGCGACTCTTTTCCCCTTCTTCCTCCAACTTTTAGCCAATCTCTAGGCCTCACTTTGTAAACATATACAGAGCTTGACAAGATGTCCCTCATGGCATCTATAGGTATACTGATGTTCTTCGCTCGGTATTTTGTGGAACTTACGAATATTGGTATACCTTATTTCATAGACCCGGTTATCTACCCGTATGACTTTAATGCATCATGATAGGTCATACTATACCATAACTCTTACTTCATTTTATCGCTACTGAGGTCTGTTACCAAGCTCCAGGTTACTCTTCCGCTGCTTATCATATATGTATAAATCCAAGTCCTTCAATGCTTCCTTATTACTGTTCATCTAAAGGATGGAATCCTTATCTCCTCTCATACGTTGGAACTTTATCCGTCTATTGTCGATTCACCTTAACGTTGATCCATAATCTACCACTGATAACTTGGAACCTCTTACGTAATGCATTATCACTAGGGCTTACGTCACATCGAGAATTATCTGAAGTGACTTTCCTAATCCTCCCGGGGCGATAATATACTTCCATAATCGTATTTTTTAGCATACTAATGTGATTCACCTTACGTGGGTATTTTAATCCTATATAATTCATGAAATCCCCCTTTTTCTTCAAATCATTACTTAATCAAAGGTCCAAACATCATCCTTTATTTACATAGTTACACCCTCATTCTACTACCAGGGCAACATTCCATTCTTCTAAATGCTACTAGTCTTAGACTCCTTTGAGTTCATTCGGGCTATAGTGAGCTATTTATAACTTAGAGAAACTATCAGCTCTCTTGTTCTTACGGCTTAATCCCGAGGACTCGTCCATTTTCGTCACCTTCTCACTTGCCTCTTCTTATCCTTACTCGTGTCTTCCTAAAATCTTGTCGCTTTACCATATTTTAGCTTGCGACCTACACATATCCATTTATACTACTCGCAACCTTCCTTCAACTTGCTTGCGCAATAGATTTCCTCGTGTTATTCTGGAACATCAAGCGGGACATCACTTCGTCTCAAACTCTTCTTTACTCTCTTAACTAGACCTCTCGATTCCTAGAAACCATAGGCTGGAAGGTATGCCATTGACGACTCTGTTATCATTCTTGGATACTGCATCCCGCGCTTCTAGCCTTTTAATCGAAGTATGGACTATTCACAACCTTCTGCATTTGAGTATCTCGTACATTGTTCACCTTTGCCTTACTTACCTTAAAATCTTGCATAGTATCTTCTAGCTCTTTCATGACCTCCCTTCCACATAGGTATAATTCACATCCACAACTTGAAGCTTTATTATAACACGCAATCTGGTGGGATCCTCATACTGACTTCTTAAGAGGCCGGTACTTTACTAACTGGCTCTAACGTAGGGCCGTTATAGAATATGATTGTTGTACTATCTCTCTTGTACCTCTGATATTAAGATTGATTTTGCAATGTTCTCAATCATGATGTCTATAATTTTCAGGGTCAAATAATCAGACTCCTGATTTACTTCGTTGATGTAACTCTTTAGTTTCCTCTTCCTTCTGATCAACCTTTATGTAAGCTTAAGCTATCTTCGGATCTGCGGCTCATGGTACTAGTTATTACTTTAGCCTTTCATAGACGCTATGGAATATCCGTGATACCATCATCTAACAATTCTATCCCTTGTCTACGACCTGGACTCAATTCTTTCTTTTAACTTATACCAGAGTCTTCTATGGTTGTATGATTGTCACATATATGATGCATGGATAATACTCCGAAACCTTAAGTGCTTTCATAACGTAACTAACTCTGGATCATTGATCAAATAATTCCTTGCGTTCCTTCTCAACTTTCTTTAAATGTAGGCAATTACTTTCCCTAGTCTTTCTGCCCCCTTGTTGCGTGCATACTTATCTAATCTTAGTTCCCACGCATGTCAGAATTGTTGTGCAACTCATATGGTCTCGAATACTACTTTTGATTTTACTCCCCGTTCATTAGCCACGGTAGGTGCCACTTTCTTTTGGAGTGCATACAATGTTGTTGTGAGACTGTTGTTACAAGACCATTTCCTCTTTATGTCACTGTGCTTCGGTTCAAGCCTTCTTCCTTATTTCCTTAGCTATTCTTTCATTGTAGTACTTAGGGAGGACCCTCGGACTTTTGTAAAGTTGTGAGCTCATTACATTGTATACTCGACGGACCTTTTTGATGTCCTTCCTTGCCTATAATAATCCGTAGTTACTTACCTCCACGCCCTTGTGCTTGTAGGGTTGCTTCTGAACTGATATTTTGACTGTCTTCCCAGTGGCATTCTCTTTTATTTCCCTAACACTCATATGGTAGCTTTAACTACCCCAACTCCTATCTGAATATTTCTCAAGGATTACAATGTCATAACAGTGAGGCTGAATT